AAGGGAAAGATGAAGGAAAACCACAGTCAGGTTCAAGGTCATCAGCAGAACTGGCTGAGCAGGTGCTTTTCCCGGGCCTCGGCTGCCACTCTATTTGTTCAACATGATTGGTCTTCCTTTCTTGGATGAGGGGTTGGTCCTGTTTCCTCGTTGGCAGTTTGTTTTTGTTGGGTGAGCCAATGGAGGCTCTGTGCTATACTTTGTGCAGGTGGCCTGCTCCCAGCAGTGGTGTCAGAGTCAGAGGCGGTGCATGGCACCTGCTTTGTGCATGTGTGTGTATGTGTATGCATGTGTATATATTGTAAGTTTGCATGGTACCTTGCGTGTGTGTGTATATATGGTGGGTTTGCCTGTTATCTTCTGGCTGTGTGTGTATGTATGAATTTGTGTGATATCTTGTCTCTATGTATGTATAGTGTGGGAAGGTTTGTGGTACCCCCTTTGTGCTTCTTATGGGTTTGCATGTCATGCCCTGTGTATATCACTTTGTGTGTTACGTCGTGTGTTTGTGTGTGTAAATATGAGTATGTGAGTTCAGTGATGTCTCCTAGAATCAAACTAAAACCAAGTCCCGCCAGCCAGGCTTAGCAGCCAGTTTTCTTTGAGTCCTTGGGGAGCACGCGTCACAGTGCACTAATCACAGCTAAAGTTGTTTTTCTGTGTCCTTTCAAAAACGACCCTACTGACCTGGCAGAGGACCATGGTTAGGAGTCATGAACACAGTCAAGACAAGAGAAACGGGAGACATGGGACGTGTTCTCCTCAGGCCCTGTGCAGGGCAGAGGCAGAGCGCACCGGGGAGTTCAGTGTGTGCGTGTGTGGGAGATTTCCTGCCTGGTCGGGGGAGCTCGAGCTCTGGAACGAGGCAGCGCCTTTATTGAGTGTACCCCTGGGATTTGTGCCTTGGTGGATTCTTCAAATATTCCAGTGAATTTAATTAAATACATTGTGAGCCCAATTGAGGGTATTCTAATTAGCTGGGTCAGGAACAAATTATTCTCCCTCCTTCTCCAAATGAAAACATCTCTCTTCTGCAGGGAAGCCTGCCCTTGGCTGCTCCGCCCCCTGCTCCTGCTTCCTATTGGACAGATTCTCAGGACGCAGTTCAGTGGGTGCCACCGGGGTGTTGCTGGGGAGGTCCGCGAGGGTGGCAGATGCACCCAGTGAGGTCATGAAGTTGAGCCACCCTGTAGGTCTCTAGTCTTGTAGTAACACAATACCTAAGACTGGATACTTTATGAAGAAAGAGACTTATTTAGCTCATAACTGTGGAGCATCAGAACCCAATCAAGCAGCTCTATCTGTTGGCCTCTGGTGAGAACCCCCTTGGCTGCACAGCAGTGTGTAGAATGGCACCACCACAGGAGAATACTTTTTTTAATATAAAGATTTGTTTTCATTGGAAAGTCAGATTTACCGAGAGAAAGATATTCCGTTGGTTGATTTACTCTCCAAGTGACTGCATCAGCCAGAACTGATCCAATCCTAAGCCTGGAACCAGGAGCCTCTTCTGGGTCTCCCATGTGGGTGCAGGACCCCAAGGTTTTGGGCCATCCTTGACTGCTTTTCTGGGCCACGAACAGGGAGCTGGAAGGGAAGTCGAGCAGCCAGGACAGAAATCAGTGCCTATATGAGAGCCCGGTGCATGCAGGGTGAGAACTTTGGCCACTAGACTACCATGCCAGGCCCTGCAAGAGAGAATTTGACAGGGAGAGATGAGGAGACAGAGTGGGGACTCACGGGCCAGGCCTATTCTCTTGGACCATGCCTGTCTTCTGAAAACTAACTCACTTCATGAGACCAGCATTAGCCCAAGGTCAGTGCCCCTGGTGACCTCGTCACCTTCCACTAGGCCATATGTCTTAGACCCACATCACATCCCCATGCTAGAGAAGAGATTTCCGGCAAGTAAGCCCTGGGAGGCACGTTGAAAGCACATGTAAACCACATCCCTACTCAAAGCCTGGGAAGTGAATGGCAGGTGTAAGGGGCACCCAGAGGTTAGAATCCTGCTACCAGCTGTGGGTCCTTCTCTACGTGTAGGGCAGCCTGCAGAGTAACAGGAAACTCGGGAAGCTTGGTGAGGAAAGGGCTTATTTGATGCAGGTAGCCATTGGTAGGCCCAGGTTGGGAAGCAGCCTCAGTTTGTTGAGTTGGAATGCGAACGATACAAGCAGGTGTTTCCTCACCACCAAGATAAGGTAATAGGCGGAGTTGATTTTTGAGTGTCTTTGAAAATGAGCTCAGAGTGGAAAGAAAGCCTGGACATCTGAGTTAGGCTTTCATACATGTCTAAGAGGACCCCACCTGTCCCCTACATGACCATCAGCAGGATAGGCTGGGGTTGTTCACATTTAGCTGCTTGGCTCCTGGCATATGCAACACCCCTCCTCTTGGCAGACTGAAGGACTCATGATGGAACCAGAGATTACTGAATGGTTTAGAAATGCCTTCATCTTACCAATTTTCTTTATTTTTTTAGACCAGGATTCCTGTAGTAGCCTTTGTGTCCATTCAGGAGCACAGTCCTGTCACCCAGGAGCCCGTGGATTTGAGGACAGGGTGTTTTTTTGGCATCTCAGTATTCCCAAGTAACTTTTTGTGGTGGTGCTGCCTCTTCAGGCTCTGATGGGGAAATTCCAACCCTTGGGAATGGAATGCTTGCATCCATATTAATATTTTATGAAATCAGGGTCTCATTGCAAGGAAATGCTGTTTCATGGGCAGATTGAGATGGTGAGGAAGTGTGGCCTGTACTGTATGGTCGTGCTCTAATCTCTCAGTTCCCGATGGCACAGGAAACCCCTAGTGGCTCTTACTGCTTTGAATTCTGGGATTCTTTGCTGTACTTTTATCCCCTTGGCTTGTGTCTGTTGCTCACCAGTGCCAGGCTGAACTCTGGCTCCCAGGAATGTCTCCCTGTGCTTTGGGGCTTTCAAAGTGCTTTGTGGGGATGGTGAAGGTGGGGAGAATGGACATAGGTGAACGCATCCCTTTGCCTCAACGTCTGCCTTATACACTCCTCTTTTCACCCTGGGCAGAAGGATCCAGAAAGTTTTGTGGTGGTGCACTCCAACTCCGTCAAGTTCCCTGCTGGCAGCTTGATTCCCAAGCAGTCAAACGGCACATAAATCATTCCAGAAAAAAAAAAAGATCAAATTTATTTCAAGAGAAATAACTTGTTATTGGCAGCTGTAGTTCCTTCAGCGGTTAGCATTGAGCTCTCAAGTTCCAGCTGCCTGTGGTCATGAAGCTGTTGTGGGGCAGCCGTTCCTTGGAGGGATGTAGCTTCGCCCCAGGACTCTGCACCTGACCGTGTGGAATCAGGAGTTAGAGGGGTCTGCTCTGTGGGCGCCTTTGAAGCCCTTTGCATTGCGCCTGCTGGCCAGCAGCAGGGCCTCCTGTGGGGTATTTGATCGAGGGCATCCTCCTCTAGTGACTTTGCTGTGGCACTCAGTGCAATCGTAGTCCTTCTTGCAAGGAGCCAGGACTGCCTCAGAGTCCTCCACACTTCTCTGGCGAAGGTAGACTGTGTACTTAGGAACACGTGTCCTGGCGAGTGTCACTAGACAGGAAGCACGTGGAGGGCAGCTCTCCAAAGGTGCTGTAATGTGTCCCGCATGATAAACCAGACAGAAATATCCAAGAAGCTGTTCCCAACGCATGGACGTGGAACAAATCAGGCTGCAAAAGGAAGCTGGCCACCCAAAGTAGTCCCTGCGTATTCACGGTGTATTTAGTGTCAGTGTTGGGGTGAGACGTGGGAGGCGGGGTGGATAGGAACATGGTATGTGAGCAAGGATCCCGGGTGCCGGTACTGTTTTCTTGGGTCATTTTACTTGAACCTCTTGGGGGAGGGTATTGTTTCTTCTGTTTCCTGGACATCCAAAAGAAAACTTTCCCCTTAACCTACATTGGGTCTTTTGCAAAGAAGGCTTAACCTCTGTCCACCAGGAGCGTGGCATTTCCCTGTGAGTGGTAAGGGTCAGCTCCGCTCATCGCTTCCTCCCCAGAATCTTGTCACCTCCGCCTCTTCTGCACACAGGTGTCCGGGTCTGCTGCTTGTTTCAGGGACTCCTCCTCTTCTTCCATTCTGGGCTTTAATAATCCCATGTGTGTCCGCTTCCTGCTGGCCCACATGACCTGTGATAAGACAGGACAGATGCCCTCGAGAAAAATTTAAATTTTGCTCTTCAATGGAAAGAAAAAAAAAATTCACATTCTCCTGTTATACTGCCATTTTAAATAGAAAAAAACTCGACTTTCTTTCCCGTGAAAAAGTCAGCAGCCTTGGTTCTGTGTGAGTGACCTTGGCTGTAGTACAAGTGTGGTGGCTGAAGGCTGCTGCTGAAGCCGGGCGTGGCCCCGCGGTCATCTCCTAGGCTCTACAGCCCACCCTGTCACTGTCATCCTTGTGCGGCTCTTGTGTTCGAAAGGCAGTCGTAGGTGAGCCATAAATCAGTGGGCGTAGCTGTGTTCCAATAAAACTCTGTTTACAGAAACAAGAGAGTCAGCTTCAGCCTTGGCTTGCCAACCCCTGATCTAAATAAAGCCAGAGGCTTTGGCGAGCCTGTACTAATTGTAGCAGAAAGATCAGTGTATTTTAGCTCAGAATTTGTGAGTCGAGACTAACGAGGTGGCCAGACATGACTTGGAGGACATTTGGTGGCACCAGAATATCCAAACTTGAGGTGGTTGGGAGCTAAGGACCACCAGGAGGGTCCCATTGGACAGCAGGTTTACCAGAGTTCTAAAAAGCCACGCAGAGGGCCATTTCGGGGGGAAGAGGAATGGGAGTCGGCCCAATGCCTGTTCCCTAAGATGCTGAAGAGAGGTGTCTTGGGTTCAGGAGCACCCCCCTCCACAGCACCGTATGATCAGTAGTCAGCCCCCTTGGCTGTGGAGCTGGTCTCAGGGCTGTGCGCCCCCAGGTGCCGCCAGCACAGTGCAGGCCCACACAGCTGACCCGAGGCGTGTCCCCTCTGCTCTGTCCCTCACAGCACCTGCAGCAGCACGAGAGTGGCGTGGAGGGCGAGAGCTGCTACTACCACTGCGTCCTGTGCAACTACTCGACCAAAGCCAAGCTCAACCTCATCCAGCATGTGCGTTCCATGAAGCACCAGCGCAGCGAGAGCCTGCGGAAGCTGCAGCGGCTGCAGAAGGGCCTTCCGGAGGAGGACGAGGACCTGGGCCAGATCTTCACCATCCGCAGGTGCCCCTCCACCGACCCAGGTAGGTCTCGCAGAGTGGGAAGCACAGGCTTCCTCCTTTGAGGAGGACATTGCAGGCGTGTCGACAGGCGGCCTTGTGGGGGACCGCCCTGTCCAGGAGGGAACGCGCGTGGATCATTGCCTGGTGGTGCTGTTCATGGAACTGGGGAGTTCTTTCCTTCAGGCTGTGCTCAGCCTGAGGACTCCCCAGGGTGCAAGCCGACAGGGTGTGCTCCTCCCTGCCCCTGAGCTCCTCCAGCTACGCTATGGGCTGGACTGACAGACCCACAGAGCAGAAGCCGGACCATGCGTCTTGTTCAATGGTTAAGAAAAGAGAGCTGGTGGCTAGAGCATCTTATCTGTAAAAATAAACTTCAGAGAGGCGCACAGCCAGTTAATATATCCTTCCAGACTAGTCCTGGCGGAGAGTCTGGTTCCGGCTGCTTTGGGGTACAGGCCTCCTGGGGGATTTTGCCTGTTCCCGTCTCTTGGGCTGCTGCCTCCCTGGCTCCTCTGTGCAGCCAGATTCAAGTGGGACCTCATTCGTTAGACTCCTCGCCTCTTCTGCCTGCTCGGCCTCTCTGGCCCTTTCTCGGACCTGCGAGCACAGAGCCATTGCCTGCCTCTTTGAGAGCAAGGAAGCAGCGTGTCGTCCTTGTCCTGTAGCCCTGCTCTCTCCCTGGTGGAATCTGTATGACTCACCTTGAAGACTGCGCCGTGCTGCCCTTTTGCATCCATGCCAGAGCTCCCCTAGAGCCTGTTAGCTGTGATCTCCACACAGCATTTGGGAAGGGCCCCGCTAGCCATCCGACGCCCCCATCCCAGAGGCCTCCACTGTCGCTCGTTCTGTGCCTGTCATTGCCTCGGAGTTGGTTCCTGGGTCCTCTTGTGGCGTTCCCTTTCCTCAGCTGGCAGCATGCCATTTCCTGTCTTCCTGCTGCTGCTCTGCCAGGCGCCCGTGCCTGGGTCCAGCCCACAGGTCTCCACCTGCCCCACGTGTGCTGTCCCCGTGTGCCAGGCCCTGGCTGTCAGTTCCGGGGTCTGTGGAGCTTTGGTTTCTTGGGGTAGCCAGCTTTCCTCACAGGCAGGCAGCTGGTGACACTGGTCACACCTTGTGGCTGGCATGCTCCCAGCTCTGCAGCGTGGGGTGTTCTTCCTACTGCCCTGTCCATGGGCGAGGCCTCGCCTCCCTGCCCCTGGCCGTGTGGGGTGTTGATGTTCTAACCAGAGACCTTGCATGGCTCCGCCAGGGCCTGGCTCATGCGCCCGTGCCCTGCAGGGGCTTCTGTCCCTCACAACAGTTTCCGGGACTGTTGCTGGCTGGCCTCATGTTGTGGATGTTGCCTCTCGGCCTTCAACCCTGGGAGGTGTGGATATTACTATCCTCTTCCTCTTCGGACCCACCCCACTTTTGCCCGCTCACACATAAGCCCAGTCCACAACGAAGCCACATAGGAAACATACCAACACCCCACGCAGCCACACGCATGGATGTTACACCCCACACCCTACAGATGCATGAGACACCATTCCCACGTTGCCCATCCCCGTGTACAACCACCCAGCAGGCCTTGCGCACTTCTACATGTGTCGTAGGCACAGGCAGTGTGGGCTGCCACACCCTGTGCGTGTACACACACACACATGCACAGTGCTGTGTGTGCATTCAGATGCACACGTGCTGTGTCAGCGCATGTGCACACGGTCCCCACATGCACATGCAGGCTGTGCCCATATGCACACACACTGCACCCACTCACTTCTGCTGCCTCCCACACTCTCCAGCCCTCCCTCCACCCTCCCCTCTGTCTTCCATTATGATGAAATAATAATTTGGGGTTATATTAATATTCAGTGTTTTCATTATTATAACTCTATAAATATTAATCACAGCTGAGCCATGTAGAGTTTTATAATTTCGTTTACCTTCTTGTACAACTTTTTGTTTTCCCTGGTTTTTCTAGGTGCCCATGATTAATTCATGCTAACCTTGCTCCTTGTCAGCCCTTGTCTCGCCAGCTTTGCTTCCTCAGGGAGGCACCCCTCCCTGCCCGCCTCCCCGCCAGCTTCTCTCTGGCCATGCCCTCCCCACTCCCTGTGCAGGCCATCCTGCTGCCCCATGCTCATCTTTCCACTGTCCCTCTGTGGGCTGTCCCTCTGCCCGGGTCTGCCCACTGCCCCTCTGTGAGCTGTTCCTCTGCCCAGGTCCACCTGCTGCCCCTCTGTGGACTGTGCCTCTGCCTGGGTCTGCCCGCTGCCCCTGTGTGTACCCCTGTAAGGGTCATCTACAGCCCAGTGCTGCTTTCTCTGTGCAAATGAGATGGCCTCACCAAAAGGTGTGTCTGCCCCTGGTTTCCTGGTAGCCCTTGCAGGTGTAGTGGAGGTCTCCTTTAGCCCACTGGCCAGTGCTCCAGACCATGTCACTTCTTTCTTTGGAAATGTGCTGTTAGGGCATGGGATAATTTCTGTCACACGTAGGTCACTGTGTCGCTGTCCCTTTAATCCTGGGCATTTTCCCAGTGTCTGATTTCGTCTAGTGACTTCCTCAGCAGAGTTTCTGCGTTGTCTTGAAGTCCATTCCTGTGTGTGGGCACTCACGGGAGAGGCGGGTGACTTCATACAAGGGCTGAGCACTGTGCCACCTGCTGTGGCACCCCTGCTCTGCACCCCAGGGTCCTGCCCCGCCCCTGACATTGCCTCCTTCCGTTTCTCTGTTCTCACTGGAATTGTTCCCTGATGCTTCCTCCTTCCAGCTGCTGTAAATGATTTCTTCAGAGTCTTTCTCTTTCCCTTTCAGCTCTGCACATGTCATTGTCCTACTCATCACCCCGTGATTCTTGGTTTCACTGCGCTTCTTATGAATGAGGCACCCTCAGTTAGATTGCTCGGGTGCACCTGCTCCAGGCAAATCCCCAGCCTGGGCCACAAGTCTCTGTTGTGTTACCTTTCCTGGTGCACCCTCCTCCCTGGTGTGTGCAGTGGTGTCGCTGGTGGTGGGTGGTTGGCTGCCTCTCTGGACTGCAGCACCCTTTGGTATTGGGCCTTGGCCCTAGAGTCCTGTCTGCCCTGGGCTTTCCTCCCTGCCCAGGTGTGGCTTCCTAGGAACGTTAGCATGCATGTTTTTGAGAAGGTGGATGCCCTGGGCTTGGCAGGGCGGAGCTGGTGGAGATGGTTAGCCCCTCTGGCGCACACAGAGGCTGGATTGCTGCCTGCGTGTCTGCATCGGGCGTTGACCTCGTTTGTGCAGTGTGGAGAGCATTGGAAGTGCGCTCTTGAGGCCCTGCCGACTTTGACCCTGTACCTCGTGTCTGTGTGCCGTCTGGAGCTTGCCGTTCTGGGGTTTGCACATGACCTGGAGAGATGACGGTGTGTTCCTTCTCCCCTGCTAACTGTCCTCGGCTGTGTGGTCTGCACCCCACCACGTTTTCCACAAAAGCTATCAGAAGTCACTTCCTTTCCAAGCTCCACCTCCAGCACCTTCTTATGGTTTCAAGATTATCCTCACTAGGACCTGTGGTGGCATGCGCTTTCTTTCCTGTGGATGGCAACAACATGGTCTCTTCTGATTGTGTCTGCTGCCCAGTCAGGTTCACATGCACTTGTCAGGCTGGGGGAGGGTGTCCAGGTACAGGAAATTGCAAAGGCTGCCTCCAGCCTTTACATACGGTGGTAGTAGCCAAAGGTTTCTGTCTGCCTCCGCTGGCCATGTAATTCCTCAAGAAACCTTGTGGCCAGATGTGTGACATCTCAGCTTTGCCCTTCCCCAGAGGGGTGAGCCCTGGCTGCCATCTGCTGATGGGGAAACCCTGTCCCTAACTTCCCTGTGGTGATGGAGTGTGTCCCTGGGCTGCCTGGGTGCTGTCTTCTGATACCTTAACCTCCGAGAGCTTCTCAGGTGAGCCCTTCCACCCCAACCCCAATCTCATAACATTTTTAACCATTTAAATTTTAATTGATTGATTTAAAAGGCACAGGGCAAGATCTTCCGATGGTTGATTCATTCTCAGAATGCCTGCGTGAGCCAGGCCTGGGCCAGGTGGAAGCCAGGAACCCAGAATTCAGTTCAGCTTTTTGGCATAGGCTCCAACTGTTTAAGGCAGTGCCTCTGCCCCCAGCGTGCACATTGGCAGGAAGCTGGGGCTGGAGTGGGGCTGAGACTGAAGCCCCAGCACTGCTGTGTGGAGTTCAGTGTCCCAAGGGGCAGTGTGGTTGCTTCGCCTCTCACCCCCAGCGCCTCTCTCCTTCAGTTGATGTTGTCGGCTCAGGTGGTTTTTCTGCAACACCAAGTGACAGCTCAGCTTGATTGGGATCCATGCTTTCGCTTTCATGCTTGCACACACACAGGTGGAGGAGGTTGCCTTCCATCCAGCAGTGGCAGTGGCTGGCATGGACAGTTTGCTTCTTGAGCTGATCAGAAGCTCTCGGAGGAGGAAGGCCCTCGGTCGAGGTTGCTGAGTGGGTCCGGCATCCCTGTTTGCTTCCTGAAGAGCCCTCTGAGGCTCCGGGCGAAGCTGCAGGTGGGTTCCAGAGCCTCCGCGGGAGATGAGACAGTGGTCACGGACAGGTGAGGTGAGGCAGGGATAATCCCCATGCTTGTGGATCCGGTTTAAAGCTTTAAAAAAATTTTTTTAAAATATTGCTTACAGGGCCTGGTGCGGTGGCGCAGTGGTTAAGGTCCTCGCCTTGCACGCCCAGGATCCCATGTGGGTGCCGGTTCTAATCCTGGCAGTCCCGCTTCCCATCCAGCTCCCTGCCCGTGGCCCGGGAAGGCAGTTGAGGACGGCCCAAAGCTTTGGGACCCTGCACCTGCATGGGAGACCCGGAAGAGGCTGCTGGCTTCGGATCGGCATAGCATTGGCCGTTGCGCTCACTTGGGGAGTGAATCATCGGACAGAAGATCTTCCTCTCTGTCTCTCCTCTCTGTATATCCGCCTTTCCAATAAAAATAAAAATAAATCTTTAAAAAAAATATTGCTTACATTAAGATGCATGCCCATGTGGGCCTCCAGTTAGGGTGAGGAG